GAAAGTGTGCAAAGGATTGTGGTCTCTAATACCTGTGTGGTACATTTCTATCTGGGAGAACCATTAAGTTACATTTAGACTACCTACTCACCATTATTAACTTACTTGGATTGCTCCGAAATTGATGATAACTGCTCAAATAATATTATCCTACATTGATTATACTTCCTCCGTCCCTCAAAACTTTGCCATGTTCAATTGGCACTGGATATAATAAAATAAAAAATTAAAAATTGTGTGGTCGATTTTTGTGTGGAGAAGAGAGATGTGATAGGAACCGCCAATTAGTTGGTTAAAAAGAAAGGTGAAAAAGTTTTTGTAATAACAAAAAAGAAAAGATGACAAAGTTTTAAGAGACGGGAGAAGTATTTTCCAATCTAAATGTAACACTTGTTTCACATTTCCGACACATGCTTTGCAGCATTTCCATAAGAGCGACTGTTGAGGTTTGTGAGCACCAAGATGTTGACACAAGATGAAATTGTCAGAAATTGCTTCGTAATGTGCTGATGCACTGGGTTAAGTTGACTATGACCATCTTTTACATTTGAGCTCCTCTCAATATTTAACGTCAACCACTGAACCACATCAGGCACACATCTAGAGCAACATCATCTCAACTAATAAACCGTGACATGGATGATGAATATGAAGACTTGTAACTTGTCTCCACTACTTTTTTAAAGAACATGGTTTTGTAAATCTTATGAAACATTGCATAACTGTACTTATGTATGTCCACATACAAATGAGCTGTGTGTTGTATTATTAATGTCTTGTTGCTTTCAAAATTTGGATTGTTGCGTACTTGTGTCATTAAAATGATTAATTTTGTGTGACGGTTACTTTTTGTATGCTATGTTCACAAATTTGTTTGTTGATGTTCGGTTGTTGTATGTTTGTTGTTGTCTCATTGTATGTAGATGTAACTAGGGTTGGGCACGGGCCGGGTCGGGGCGGGTAATGCAAAATAAAATGGAACCGCCGGTTCCATTGTACGCTTCGGTCCGGTCCGGGTATTACAATTTTCAAAATAGGAACCGGAAATTACCCGTCCCGTTTGAAACGGGTCGGTCCGGTCCGGGTTTTACGGTTTCTATTCTCATGTCTTGAAATTAGTAAAAACTCACGAAGTTCCAAAAATCAATAATCAATAATTAAATTTTCAGTATTAGCCAAAGTTGACACATACCTGGTGGGTGGTAAACACAATTTAAATATTTTAATAACAATATAATAAAAAAAATATAACAAAATCATCTTTAACAAATAATTAAATTCCATAGAAAGGAGTAATTCAATAACAATAAAAAGTACTACGTAATAAGATATTTATGAAACATTTAATCAATAATTTGAAAACAAAAGGATGTTACTGCAACTCAATTTAAAATCCTACTTCTAGCACAGGAAACAAAACTATTTCAAAACCGATTATCACAAAACTATTAATAAATTAATATACAATATATATAACGGGCCGGGCCGGGCCGGGTACCCGTTATTTTTTAATTTTGGAACCGGTCCGGTTCCTTAAAAAAAATTACCCGACCCTACCCGGACCGTTTTATGGAAACAAAAATGGAACCGGCCCGTTTTGGACCCGGACCGCCATTACCCGGACCGGACCGCGGTTCCAAGACCCGTTTGCCCACCCCTAGATGTAACTGCAATGCTTAGGGAATAATGCAGAGCAATAGTCGCCAATCCATATGGCGATTCGTAAGTTGCCAATAAAGGCGGCGGCTTATTAAGTCGCAACTCCATATGGTGGTTCGTAACTAGCCAGTGAGAAACTGAGAATGGCACCTTAATAAGTTGCCACTCCTCTTAGAGGCTGTTTACTTTCTCTTTTTCATTAAGTCTTGAGTGGATGAAGACGTCTGTCTACATTAAGTTGTCTACATTAAGTTGTCTGTTTAGATTAAGTGTCATTGAAAGAACACACTGTTTACTAAGTGAGCTGAATGAGAAGTCTAAGACTCTTAATCATGTCAAATGACCAAATAATCCTTCTGACCGGATTAAGTATAGTACATGTTTAAGAAGTATGCAAGACTTTGGGATTTTGACACAAATATCATTAAAAATGGATTAAATATATTGGTATCAAATGAGCCTGGCCTCGGGCCGGGCGGCCCGACCCGGAACTGGCCCGGCCACTGTAGCAACCGGCCCGGCCCGGTGGCCCGGTCCACCGGCGGTTCGGGTCGAACCGGCCCGGTGGTTCCCGGTTCCGGGCCCGGGCCTTCCATATGGTGAACCGGCCCGGCCGATTCGGGCCCGGTCCGGGCCGGATTTTAATTTTTTTTTTTTTTTGAAAAATTTTTTAAGTCTTGGGTTGGAATAGGTATTTTGGGCCATTTGAGGTGGTTTGGGGTGGTTTGGAGGTGAGTAGGAGGGGTAGGGGATTAAATAGGAGAACCAAAAAAAAAAAAATTGGGCCAGTTTGGCCCGGAACCGGCCACCGGCGGTTCGGGCTCGGGCCTCCCCTTTCCTGGCCCGAGGCCCGTCCGGGCCCAGGCTCGAACCGGGCCCGAACCGGGCCCGAACCGGCCCGAGTCCAGCACTAGTATCAAATTCACGACTCCACCAATGGTCACGCACTCATGTATACAAGTACATTGTTACACAAGCGAATGACTTATCATTTTTTAAAACCATTAGTGTATATTGATTTGACCATGTGTTCAGATTATTTTTTATTGGGCTAGTACAATAATTACATTGTACTATCATTCATCTCTTTTTAATCATAACATGTTGAATTTTACACTATTCACATGTTCTACTCTGACTATATTTTATATTATTATTTTATGAAAAATTAATTTTGTAAAAAGACATTGTTCAATTCATCTCATTACAATTTTTTGAAATCTAATTTTTAAATATTTTTTACTAATAGAGATTAATATATAATTACGGTCAAAGACGTGCATTGGTAAGTGTGAAATGTTGACCGTTGCAACAGAAAAAAAACGGAGGAAGTATATAATTATTAGTAGAAAAAGACACTAACCCCCCAAAAGGGTTATTTAACAGTATTACTGAAATAATTTATTTATAAAAATATGACTAGAGCAGCTATAGGTAAAGTGTCATGGTCACTTACATACGTATAAAATTGAACATAAATTATTATGACTAAAGTTATTACTATAATCACTACATTTATAGCAAAACATGCATACTTGTTTAACCAAAATAGGTAACATCAATAGTAACTCTATTTTGACAAGAACAAATTTAGGTATAAAACCTCCTCTTTTTTCCCTCCATAAACGAAAAAATTAGGTTGATCCATCAAAAAATCCCACATTGAATTTGTGTTGCAGGCACGACCGCTGTACAAAGACATGAACAAGTTCCCTCAGATGGCGGACCCTGCACTCAGGTGAGTTTCTAGTCGAATGCTTTAATTTATTTTGCTACATATAACTTTTGTAAAGAACTTTTATTATGTAATTATTTCACAAGAATTGAGTACCGCTATGGTATACTTGGTTGATTAGTTGTAACAGCCTGTTGAACTTTTACGTGAAACTTTAATCATTAGTACATTAAATTCTCTATGAAGAGGATGAGCAAATATAAGACAGTGATATTTTGAAAACAATGATGAACACATATATGCATTTACTGATATTTTAGAGTACTGTATATATTGATTATATTGAATGATATTAAATGAATACACTTATGCACCATAACCTTGTGGAAATATCAATACAAGTATCTATGAAACCATTATATTTCGACCCTTATTTAGCATCATCCAATGCTAAATGTTTTGTTTGAATTGTTTGTTTGAAACGTTTAGCATATCCTTAAACATGAAGATAATCGACATTTTCATAAATCAATGATGTTAAGCATATATATATTTTTTTTCGAGCTTTTCCGAATGCACAGAAATATCAATAAATATCTGTCATTATAAAATTATACTCCATTATTTATTAATCGGATCATAAAATATCAAATGAAGGTTCTGAAAAAGTTCATATACTTTGACATTAAGACGTTAAAAATAATGAAACTACTCTAAATATTGTTTTCATTACAACATGAAACCACATTAATCGGTATATACAGATATATAGGGCATAAATATAGATTTTGTTTGAACTAGATACAAAGTACAGAAATGGTAGAGTATGATACAATTTTCAAAGTTCGTAAGCCCAATATATTAGTAAAAAAATGGATCGAATTCCAAAATGAGTTATTAGCCAACATGGCCCGTATTCGGCATAAAACTTTAGCGGTCTTCTAACAATAGTCCCACTTTTTCGTTATTAATGAATAATCCAACATTTGCACCTCATCTTCATTCACTGGTCCTTGACCAGTTAATGACCTGCTATTCCAAGTTATTTTCTTATCTTTGCAAATCATTATAACATAAATCTCACCTTTCACAAAGATAATATTTTTCAAAGATAAGAAAATAACTTGGAATAGCAGGTCATTAACCAGTTAGAGACCGATGGGGTACAAAGGTTGAATTATTCTTCAATAACAAAAAGATGGGCTAGACCTGGACTCGGTTCGGGCCCGGCCGGGCCTCGGGCCAAGAAAGTTGGGCCCGAGCCCGAACCGCCGGTGGGCGGTTCCGGTTCCGGTTCCGGGCCAAACCGGGCCGGGCCGGGCCGGTTCTATTTTTTTTTTTGGCTCTTCTATTTAACCCCCAACCCCTCCCCCTCAACCCCAAACCACCCCAAACCACCTCAAATGGCCCAAAATACCTAATCCAACCCAAAACTTAAAAAAAATTCAAAAAAAAAAAAAATTAAAAATCGGCCCGAACCGGCCGGGCCGGTTCACCAAAAACTGGGCCCGAGCCCGGACCGCCCAGCAGCCGGGCCGAACCGAACCGGTGGACCCACCGGGCCCCGGGCCGGGCCAAACAGTAACTGGGCCGGGCCGGTTCCGGGCCGGGCCGCCCGGCCCGAGTCCACCCATAGATGGGACTATTGTAATAAGACTGCTAAAAGGTTGGATTATGACAACTTAGGTCTTAGATTGATAGTTTTCAATCATTCAAATCCTAAATTGATAGTTTTTGATCATTTGGATCCTATATCAATGCATTTGATCTTTTAGGTCCCGAATTGATAATTCGTCTGTCTTTTGAATCCTGAATTGATAAAATTCCTTTATACTACGTATAAAATAAAACTGGATACCCAACTTCGCTAGACTAAACACGTCTCCCAAAATCAACCCAGAACCTTAAATAAATCGTTGGTTGTCTGAACAATGCTTTAATATTCCATCATCTGTACACCTCCGCATATAAGAAGGTGCTCTCAACTGATTCAGCATGTCCACGGGTTCCAACCATTATCCCAAAAAAAAAATCGATTTACACGAAGAAGCCAACTTCCACATTGCTCTTGATGCTAGACCAATTGATTGAGGATGTTTTTACTTGGACGGTAATCTGTCCCAGACCAAATCAGATCAGAACAGACCAGACTTGGATAGATATAAAAATACAAAGAAACCAGACATGACCAGACCAGATCAGACCAACAAATTACAGTCCAAGTAAAAACATCCTAAAAGATAACTCGAGCTAGCCCTAAGGGATCATTACTTCGTAAAACCCACCCAAAACCACAACAGATGTGACTTCAAGTCTTCAACTACCTCTTAATAAATGGCACTGTATTCTAATCTTCTATTTAAATGGCGATTGCATAAATAAATGATAAAGATTGTCCTGGAAAGTTCAAAGGAGTTGGGTGTCTAGGCACCGCTGGCCAAAGCAGCAGATACAATTTGCTATTTCCAATGAGCTAACACAATCTAAAATTGTCAATTACTCCGTATTAGTTAGCTATACCTTGCAATCACCATATCTTGCACGCATAGTTCTTAGACCTACCTAATATATCCTTCATTCCTTCCACTCATTTGTTTCACTAAGATGTTGGTCTTGTCTACTTTTTAAAAATTGGCCCTCTCTAATCCAGCATTTGCCCATTCCGGACCCCACCTAGATCCAATCTACTTGTCAGATTGTCCATCTGATGCCCGTCTTGAGTCTAGAACTTTCTAGAACACACAACAGCCAAAAGGCTGTAATTTTTTATCCTACTTAACACACTTAACATGACAACCAACAAAAAGTAGGTAAACACAGAAAAGTAGAAAGTAAACAAACATGTGGGGAGATAGAGAAGTTAGTTTCCTTCGAATCATGCTTCATAAAAAATGATTTTCATTTTCCAAACAATTTGATTCAGTGAGGAGGAAATCATGTTTAATGCTCAAGTACAAATTTATTCCCTGTAGCATTGGATCATCCAGGATCAAAGTCTTTCGATTACATATCCAATGCTGTCAAAATTGACCCCTCGGACAGAAATGGTGAAAGACAACATGTGAAGTTTACCTTAAACATGATGGATATTTTTTTATGCTATTAGAAAGACGAAGAAAAGCTAAACTGCAACCCAGTCTTCCCTCTATCATACTCTCCTTGTTTCAGTATGTGGCAGTAATTAACCTGAAGTTGAAACAAAAATAATAATCAGAAGTCCAGGAAACTGTTATATTAGAATAAATTAATTCACAGGAAATAGGGAAACGTATCCTGGCAATTTCAACTATGCAAAATCCTCCGTTCTCTTTTAGTTAGGTTTTGCACACATGCAAAAAAAGCAATACTCTTTTCCTAAAGTCAAGGTAAAAATACTATTAGATGACTAGAGTTCCTCCATTAATGTTTAGAGTATTACATACTAACATTTATAAATGAAGTAAGGGTAATGGATGACAACGAACAATAATGTTCTGTTGATACTAATATTTTAAAGAGATAGTTATTTGAGAAATAAAGATAATAAAGCAATATGAAGAGATATTAGAGAAAGGAGGGAGTAATATATTTTAGTGATGAGATGAAGCAAACGTCTAAGGGTGTTTGGATGAGCTGAGGTTAGGCGCCTTACCCTATATCTTGATAAATAGAATAATTCTAAAAATGAAATAAAGATGTCAAAATGTCACATGATCACATATTATGTTTGACTTTCAAATTTTTACTAAATTTCAAATATATACTACGTATCAAGATATAGACTAACCCACCACAGCCTTACCCTCCAAAACCCTGCATACAAAAAGGCGTGAAAGTTATAGTCTTAAAGATTTTCTTGTCTTTCCAAGACAAAAATACGCTCTAAAAATGAACAAGTGGATGGTTGCAAACCTCCATCCTGAACAGTTTAGTTGGAACTATGACTCCGAATCCTGTTGAAGCTTTAAACGAGTCACGGAACTTCTGGAAAGAGAGGTCTCGGAATGCATTTTCACTTAATTTGTTAAGGCTTCCGGTGCATGCAAAAGCATGTCCATGTATTCCAGCTTCCCTAAGGACTTTCAATGGAAGATCAAAAGAAACATCTGCAAAAGCAGTAACTGCAAGATCTCCTCCAACGAAGTCCAGATCAGAAGAATCAGAAACTTCATGATCACTACCACTTTCTTTAACTAGCCTTCTTGGATCAAAAGGGCCAACTCCCCTCAACTTAAAACCGAAGATTGAAGTTGGGCCACCCATAGAGCAGACTGGAGAAGTGTTACCACCCATAAAAAATCTGTCAGGTAGATATGAGGGCATGTTCATGAATCCAGTTCCCCATGGAAACATTGCGCCAGCTGAAATCCCAATGTTCAGTGCGGCATTGTAAAATCCCAAAGGTAAAGCATAACGAAAATCAAACTCCTGTATACAAAAAAAAAACAGTTTCTCACATTTATGAATTGAGAAACTAAAAGGGGGAAGTTGTTGAGAGGGCATTCTTGTCATAAAAGGGGGTGGACATTGATTTTAATTTATTTTGGATTGGGGAAACTGGCAAGGGACATTTTCAATAGAGAAATCTTCTATAGCTAGAAGAGAAAAATGTAAGCAGTTTAATACTCCCTCCATCCCACTATCTTCATTCCATTTTTCCATTTATGTCCGCCCCATTGATTTTTTCCTATTCCTTATTTGGTAATATTTACTGATTCTAATTCATTAATACTTTATTGACAGATCACAAAATCAAAATTCAATACTCACCACAAAACTTCACGTTCTTAATAACCATACCCCTCCCTCGTGTCCCAATCTTAGGGGGACGAGGGTAATAATTGAGTATAAAGATTCATAAACAAAACAGGTCCATAAAAATATGAAATCATAAGATTGATTGCAAATTTGCAACACATATGTAATATGTAATCAATGAAAATAGAAAACCTGTTGTTAGCTAAATGAGGCTGACAACATTATGTTTAAGTTGTGTTAGGTTAAGCTGAAATGGGAGAGAAACAAATATGAGAGAGATGGCAATTTTTGGTTCTTCAGTGATAAGAGAAAATGGGCAAGAGAGGAATGAAAATGTTAAGCCCGACTCCTTTTAAATCTCTACCCATTCATCTTCATTTCTCTCCTATCAAATGACACACAAAAGTACAAAAACACCCCCATTTCTCTACTATTTTTTCTTCTCTTTCTCTTTCTAACAAATTTCTCTCATCTCAATTTCACCTCTAAGCTAATTAAAAGCTACAACAGAAAACAAAAAAATTACTGAAAATGGACTGAGAAAAGGTGGAAAACAGACTAAACCTGACGTAGAAACCGTATGCTCCGAGAATCTGGTACAAGGCCAGCAATCTGTGAGGTAGAAGCAAATGCAAGCCCTTGGGTTGGTCTTAAAGGTGAATTCCTCCTGTCTACTTTAAATGTATACTTGAGAACTGAGAGCAAACCATGTCCGAGCTGCCTCCTTACAGTCTTGGAGGCCATTTGTGACGGATCAGTCAAAGTTCGCCAAGAGACATTGTATGCTAAGTCATGGTTTTTAGATGACAATAGACCAAGGGAAAGGCCTAACGATCTTTCCTTGTATGAAGAAAACTTCAACCAATCTTGAGATAGTAGAGACAGTCTGGCTGTGACAGGAGTAATTAACCTTTTGAACCTAGGTAAATACACACCAGCACTAATTTCCGAAGATTGGTCCCAACCATAGGCCAAAGAACCATCCCACAAATCACCATAACCAAATAAGTTTTTCAATTTTAATGAGCTTTCAAGCGACCAGCTTCTAGACTACAAAAAATGTTTAAAAGTAACAAATCACATTACTAGAAACCTTTATTAAGATGTCTGATAATAAAGAAAAAAATGCATCAACATTCATTCATTCATTCATTCATTCATTCATTCATCATCATTACCCCAGTGCCGCAAAGGCTCCCACCTACGGTGGGGTAAGGGGGTCGGATGTACGCAGCCTTACCCCTATACTAAAGCACGGAGAGACGGTTTCCGGATGACCCAAGGTGAAAATGCATCAACATGAATGAAATAAATTAAAAACACAGCAGCATGCATAACTGCTGATAAAGTGAATATAAGTTGTTAAAAAAGAAATCAAGTATTTGAAATTATCTACAGTATCTTAGATACATAATACAGGTAGTATTTGACCTATGAAGCAACGGGAAATTATCTAGGTTGAGTGCCGAGTAGTTTTGTATATATCTTATGAAAAAAACATCAAAGACCTACATAATATAGACAAAAGAGTGGATTTGATCTGTCTAATAAAAAATTAGAATAAGATGAAGCGCATGTGATTTTTTATACCACATAAACTCCTCCTTCGAAAAGGATAAGAGTCTTCATATATTCCACCTATATTACTTTTTTTTCCACCTATATTACTATTGCTCAGATTGCAGTATATCTCTTTGGGTTTCTATGATATGGTAAGTCAACTAATCCTAGAAGAATTGAATAGCCAAATTAATCAATTGGACGTAAGGAAAATGGCCAAATGCTTTCAAACCCAACTATAACCTTAAGTTCCTTAAACCTTCTATGCATTTTTTATTTATATCATAAGAAGTTCGAAGATAACTTTCAAGATCCCAATATTCACACTACAGAGTCAAAAGCTAAAACTTGTCTCCGGAATCATTTCAAGGTAATGTAAGTAAATAGAGTATCAATTCACAAAGAACGAAAGCCAATCTTAATAGCATATTACCCCTGGTTTCGAGAACATCCCGATGCTTCCAGCAATAGGGTTTTTGGCTTCAATGACTTCAACAATCACATTGGCAGTCCGGGGAAGCTCAGGAGGTCCGGAATCAAGAGTGATGTTGACGGAATCGAAAATGTCGAGTTGTTGCAGTCTTGCATTGGCAGAACTGGATGCCTGGAGCAACTCCTGGAGCGTAGTTGCAGACTTGAGTAATTCCACCTCGGCCTCAATTACGGAATCCTTAGTCTTAGTGTTCCCTCTGATCAACACGTCGTGGACTCGCACCGGGACTCCCTCCGACGACAGTCGCCGGAAGAAGCTCTCTATCCTCGCCTTACCGGTCCGCACTCGGGATTCTTCGCTGACCTGCTCTACTTCTTCTCCATCATCGTCTTCTTCTTCTATTTCTTCGTAATCATCCTCGTCGGCTTCGGTGCTGCCGCTGGTTGAGCGCTCCTTTCCCATTTCATCCGCCATAGGAGTATCGTTTAGGTGCTTGCCAGGGCAGTTGCAAACAATTTTTATGGAGAAAATAATAATATGGGCTCACCGGCTCAGCTATGGTCTAACAAAAAACTATTTGTACCCACTTTTGTACCCAGGTCTATGAGGAGTTTTTTGTCTGTGAATCCCGGTCATTGACAAAAATATGTCCACGCAGACATGGTAGGTATAAAAGTGAGTACAATAGTGGGTACAAGAATAAGCTCTCATGGTCTAATCAGAATGGGGAAAAGGTTACTTATCGGTTAATACAACAAATTTGTACACATTTTTGTTCACATTTTCCATTGATCCTGTATAAAGACAATTATTTCTGATTTTTGTACACCTTTTTTATTGTTTATATACACAACCAACTCATTCTGATTCTCTCTATGTACACGTACAACTAGGCATGTGTACCAAAATGTGTACACATTTTTGTACAAGTAACACGGCCGAAAGCCTCAAAATTAATAACCGAATTCACTTAGATTGACAATAATGCCATTAACCTTTTTGAATTATATAGTACTCAAAATAGTTCAAATTTGATGTTATGTCACATGGAGCATTAAGGGATTGTTTACTTTTTTATGTTAAGTTCTATAAAATTAAAGACATCTTTTTAGATTAAGATATCAGTCTGTATTAAGTGATTTTTATATACTCCCTCCATCCCGTTGGGATGTTCCCGGTTTGACCTACACACATATTAAGAAAATAAACTTACCAGGGGTAAATTTTACTATTTTGACAGTGTTTCGACACTGTTTGGCACTGTTTTAATGTAGGATAACTTTCCATTTAGGGAAAGGGAAACTTCTTTTTGGGACTGCTAAAAAGGGAAAGCGGGAACATCCCAACAGGACGGAGGGGGTATGAGACTGATTATTTTGTGTGTTGAATAAACAGTTTGAATTGAGTAAAATAATCAAGTTATTAGTCTTCTCGGGCTATAGTTTTAATGAGAAATTTGATTTGTCAACAAGAATCTATTTGACAATCGATTTAAAATTTTTGACGGAAACGACGTCTTAATGGGAAGGATTACTATTTTCCACCTTAATGATTAAATCATTTTTTTACTGAATTATTAAGTCATGCTTTCAATTAAGTCGTAATAAGTAAAAACGACTTAATGGTTGAACGATTAAGTCACTATTCTCATCAAGTCTATTACATCGAAAGTAAAGAGCTCCCAAGTATTATACAAAGTATATATAGTAATATATAGGACAGTTCATATCAGGAGCTCCTGATCGGAACCATAGTGAAAAATTCACCGTTTGAGATGATTCCTGATGGAATCTTTTGATGAAATTTTGTAAAATGTCTTTTCAGAAGTGTAAATTATATTCATACAGTTTCAATTTAAAATTCGGGGAATCAGTTAAATAAATTACTTGTATTTAATTGAACTTTTTAATGTATGAGGATGCATAAGAAGGCGTATGAATGTATGATTCTCAATTCAAACGAAATTTTTTTCGTATCATTTCTAATGTAGTTCTCAGTGTTGATTGCTTTGTCATTTTTATTGGACTAGATTCTCACCCATGCGATGCACCGGATATCGCACGGGGACATAATAAATTACATAATAGCTATATTTTGTCATTTATTAATATTGAGAATGAATGTATAAATAATGTATACATTCATTGGTAGTAAGTATCTTTTAGAATAAATAGAAAGAAAGATAGTTAAGAGTCATGCAATGCATTGGTAGTAAGTATGTTTTGGAATAAATAGAAAGGAAGAAATATTACAATAAGTTTTCTACAGTACACATTTTGAAGCACTTCCTAGTAAACAACATTGGTGGTATGGTTTGTTTGTTCATCACCTTCACCGCAAATCAATATTTTCGAACTCTTACACTTTGTTTCTTGATATTGCAACATACAGTTGAGCATGCGTAAAGACTGGTTCTTTCAAGAGGCCAACATTGGTGATTTGCCTACCGGGTTATAGAAAAAATAACATGCCAACATGCGACAAAGATTGACAGTCGTACTCTTAGATGTTCCTTGTATTTATCAGAATATACTTGACCTGAAACAAAAGCCTTATCAGTAATGAATATGAACATATTAAGCCAAATCAGTTAATGGTTGTATTTTAGTGGGTGTGTGGTGAAATCTACCTATATTTTAAGTAGATTTTATCATTCTAATTATCATATAAATATATTCTATTTTCAAAACTTTCAAAAAAAAATCACTTTTTAATTGACAAACGAAATTTGTAAGTTAATTAAATAATAAGCAAATGAACTCTCTTTTTGTCACTAATTATTTTAGGTGAGGAGAGTGGTGACAACCCCTTTTAATTTAGTCACTCACTCCTTTCTAAGTGACCAAATTAGTGAGTAGGTACTTAATTTAAGTGTCTAATCCAATCGTTAGTTTGTAGTGATTTGTAGAAAATTCATCAACCAAATTCCTCTTAATTTGGTCATTCAATTCAACAACGAACTCCTCTCTGTGTGCTTGCAATTGGTGTATCTGGAAGCTCAATGGCTGCATGATCTATTTACAAATATATTAGTTAGTTTAGGGAAGATACATTCGTAGTTATCTAAGTTAAGACTACTTCTGATCCTTCAGCTACTCTTTTCATTTGCTTCCTACAGACTTTTCACCAAAGCTTATAGTAGAACCACTTTACAAATTGGAACATAAGACAATTTTCAGAAAAGAATAATCATGCGTATCACGTGTATATTACAAAACGGACACCAAAATAACTCTCCTTTAAATACCTTCTCGGTGTTCGGATCTTCCATGTACACTCCATGTTGAAGCTTCCCTCTACTGGTACGATTTTTTTGTTGCAGGTGTTATAACTTAAGTAACATCATTCCCAGAAAGTTTCTTATTCCACACACTCCATGTTCTGATGATGTTCTTTGATTATTGACTTACATTCCAAGTTGAGACCTTTACAGGATAGCATGAATTCTACCTCCCTGTGAAATAAGTTTGAATGTCAACCGCCAACAACACATATTGAACAATATAATGCAACCATAAACTTTGAAAGACAACATTATTAAGTATAGACTCCATTACTAAGTATTGTGAGGGTCGTTTATGGTGTTGTTCTGCTAACTTAGTGCGACTATATATAGTGTCAAATGTGGTATGGTAATAGAAGAGAGGTTTTTGACCAATGGTTTGTTCGCCCAACACAATCTCCACTAAGATTTTGGAGTACCATTCATTAAATGTGATGCTCAGTCAAAGAAATACGTCAGTATGTGTAAAGCTATACTGCTAAAGCTCAAAGATTTAAAAGTACAATTCATTAAATGTAAAGTGTCCCCTAAACCTCATCTAAATGTAACACATATGTGGCCAAGGAAAAAGTTTGTTTTTACATACGGAGTATTCATTAAATGCTCTTCATTGAGCCGCATAACCTCATATACACTACGTCTTAGATAGCTGAATGGTTGAATTACCCTCAGTGTATTATCCAATTGCAAGCCCCTTCTGCAAAGCATTAAATGAAATTTACCACACCGCAAAGCCAACATTAACTGCAGCTTGATGTGCCCATATGATCCAATGCAACAACGTGCTTTTCAATGTTGACCCGACCCAGCCCGTTTGATAAACAATACTTTGAGCGGGAAAAATGGCTTGGTTTCTCCTGCTTTTGTATATAGAAAGATGATGAAGTCTCTAATGACTTACTCCTTAAAATGCTTGTTCCACTTTACTATTTTAATCACACTTTACGTGCTTTGCTTAAATACCATGTACATGTATGATGTATCAAAATCAAAGTATAAGTGGCACGAACATTAGTCAGTACTATACGTATGCATAAGCATAATAATAGCCCATTTGGTAGCTTGAAAATTGATTTGGCTGATTTTGCTTAAATTTATGAAGTTCTAGCTGAAGTGGTTGCATTGGCTGATTCTGCTGATTTAAGAAAAAAATATGTTTAAAATATATTTTATTAATAAAATAAAGAAAAAATTATATGTAAAAATAGCTAAAATGATCATCTACAGTAACTTCAGTCAATACAACCAGAAAAGTAACTTCAACTAGTGATGGACCCGGGCCGGGTCAGGCCCGGGCCGGGTCAAGGCCCGGTCGGGCCTCGGGTCTTGTAATGGTAGGCCCGGGACCGGCCCGGGCAATGGTCGGTTCCGGTTCGGGCCGGGCCACCCGCCCGGGTCACGGGTCGGGCCACCCGCCGGGCCGGGCCGGGCCAGTATTTTTTTTAAAAATTAATTATATATTATACAAATTCCTATTAAAAACAAAGTTCAAGTGCATTTATTTGAAATAAGAACTACATTTGAGAATTGAGAAAAAAATAACAATACGAAATACATTTTCTAATGAATATCAATTGGGATTTCCGCCACCGTTGGTTGTTGTTTTCCCTTTGTCACAGGACTTCATATGTTTTATTGGCATCCCGTATCCGTATGAACGCCCCAAACAACACTCTTTCTTGCACCACCTGCAAGTTGCCCACCACAGTCCGGTCTTCGGGTCCTTCCACTTGTCAAAATTGTTTTGCATAAGGGAAGATGTACTTTCCATATTTAAAATGGTATATGTATAAGTAGGAATGTAGGATAATAAGAGAAGATGAAGATGGAGAAGAGTTGGAGAAGAGGTGTAGAAAAATGTTAGAAAATAGATGTATTTATAGATGTTTTTGAACCCCACTCCCCACACCACCACCCCCGGGACCCCCCTGCCCCCCACCCATAGCCCCAACGGCTATATAGCCGTTTGGGAGGTTTGATTTCAAATTTTTTTTAAGTTATACATATTGTAAAATAAATTAATTAATTTAATGAATTAAGTAAAACTAAAACTATTTGTACTTAGAAAAGTGGTTTGATTTATAATTTACAAATGTTACAAAATAGGTGTATAAGTATTTAAACAAATTACATATTGTAAATGTATTTTTAATTTAAAAACCGGCTTTATATTTTAGAAAAATAATTTTAAGTCGTTAGTTTGTAACCAATTAATTAATTTGAGAAGTGCTACATATGAAAAAGTGAACACATATTTATTTGAAATATGAAGTACAAGTTTACAAATTAATTTGAAGTACA